AAGGGGCTCGTTTTCGAAGCTCGGGTCTTTTGACATGCCGAGGAAGACGCGTACAAGGTAGTGGCCGTGGGGGACTCGGTTAAGGTTGTAGCAATTGTTGGGGCCAGAGGACGTGGGGAAGTAGCGGAGGGTCGGGAGGTCGGGAGAGATGAAGCTCGTTCGGGAGGCGTTTGCAGGGATTCCGCCAGTGTAGGCGAAATCCTTGTACCAGAGAGTGTTGGTTGGGAGTGTACGGATGTCCGCGCGGGCCCCACAGCTTATGCGGAGGGCGTAAGGAGCTGTGGGAAGTACAGGAAGAGATTCGTTTTGAGCATCTCAATCAATTACATTACAGGTTTCTGAGAATGAGTGAAGAACTTTTATTGAAATTTTGTCCTTGTGGGGTAGAAAGACAGTCAAAAGCTAATATTAGGGTTTGAGTACTTGAACACAAAAATGGCACAAAAAGCTCCCAACTTTACCAACACGTTGAAATCTGAAAGAAGTTCTGTGAATGGAAATCTGGCACAAACCCAATCAAACAGTTCGTGGAATAGAAGTGTAAAACTACACTCACTCATCAATCTACGCACAGGACAAAAAAATTCACAGTACCAAGTGAATGAAAAACCCACAAGGCAATACAAATCCCAAAACAAAAAATGGAAGGTTCAATTAACTGATTCAAAAGTATCCCAGCAAACAATCAACTATAGCAGTAATAAAGAAAAAAAGGTTAAATCGAAGCTTACATCGAGAAAGAGAAGGACTTGGGGCAAAGACTAATGCTGTGAAAAGTAAGAGCAGGCAAATTTCCACCATTGTTGTGGCAATGAGTTCAGATTTGAGCAAAATCGAAGCCCTTTATTAATTTCCTAAACCTCGGAGTAAACATTCTTATCTTGGATCATTCTTTCTATATCTCGATTAAGGATGAGAGTGTCTTGAATTTCTCTCGAGTAACAAAAAATANTTTTGAAAAAAAAATTATTCCAGTTTAGATTTACTTACAACCTTTGTTTAAAGTCTCCGATAGAGCTTTTTCTTGTCTGGTAATGGGATTTAGAGATTTTTTGACCATGATTTGTGATTTAGCATTAAATTTCTTTTTTGAAAAAAAAAAGCATTAAATTTCTTTTTAATTGTTTATTTCATTCTCAGAATTTTAAACCGCGTCATCTCTGTGGGGGACCTCAGGACTGAGACTATCTTTATCCCCAACCCAACCCAACCCAACCCAATAATAAAAAATTATTTCTCTCTCCTCTACCTACATAACCCAACTTTTAACAACCTACATATTTTTATCCCTAACCCAACCCAATCCAACCCAACATACTATTTATTTTATTTTTATTTATTAAATATTATCTACAATAGATTTTTTGTTATTTTTTTAGTTGTGATAAATTAATGAAAAAAATTATAATTAAAAATATTGATTTCAAAAAATTAATATCTTAAAATACAACTAAAAAAAATATTACAAACATAATTAAAAATATTTTGTACTAATTCATATATGCTCTAAACCATATATGGTCTAGTGTGTAAATGTACACTAATTCATATATGGTCTAAACCATATATGGTCTACTGTGTAAACCATATTTTTTTTTTATTTACTATTTGGGTAATAAACATTTATATAATATTACATATTCATATATATAGCAAATTATTCGAAATAAAAATAAATAAGATATATTTTTATTATTTGAGTAATTAACACACTAGACCATATAGTAAATAAAAAAAAAATTATGGTTTACATACTAGACCATATATGGTTTAGAGCATATATGAATTAGTACAAATTTACACACTAGACCATATATAGTTGTGATCTAAAACATATCAAGAGTGGTCTCTATTTATAGAGAATGAAAAAATACGAATTTTGATATTTTTTATTTATTTTTTTAATATCAAATAATATCAATAATTTAAATTATACTTTTCTTATTATATAAAATTTATAGTGACCATGGGAATGGGACAAGTATCATTCCTTTCATCCCTATATCAAAAAGTATGAAAAAAAAAAGAAAGAAAGAAATTGAGGCACTGAGTTGCGACCCAAGGTCACAATGTGAACTGGATCGCTCAAAATTCTCCACTTTCATTTTCTTTTTTATTTTATATTTTTTTTTGTCTTTTAGCTGGTGACCCAATAGGTTGGGTCACCGATAAGAATGGTCTGAGGGGAGTGATGGTGCTCTTGTGCGGGAATGGATTGTTTTGTTCGTCATAGGCCACCAGCCATTAAGGCTATGTTTGGTTCAGATGAGGGAAAGGGAGGGGAGGAATTTTAATGAAATTAAAAGGGCGGGAAGTGACGTAGAATAATTTTACCTTATTTGGAGAAATTTTATATGAAGGGAGGGGAAAGAAAATGGTAAACCTTGTTTGATTTAAAAATTAAAAGGAGGGAAAATAAAATTATATAGACAAATATACCTTTCTTTATTAATGAAGGTTTGGTTTTATTTATATAAGGTAATTTTGTAATTCTAGTTAGTTGAGAATGGTATAGAAGTCCAATCAATAACACACTTTTCCTTCCCTCCAAATTCCCCCAAAATTGGAGGGGAGCAAATTTTCCTTCGGCCATGAATTTGAGGGGAAAATCACATCCCCTTCCCCCCACAAAAGATTAAACCAAACAGAAGAAAAATAAAATTTTCCCTCAGCTCCCTTCCCCTCCCATCAGTTTCCCTCGAACCAAACACCCTGTAAGCTCCACGTGGCCTAGATATGCGCGATTTTTTTTCACTAAAAGAATTAAGGAAAAATTAAAAGAAGAAATCTTTTTATAAAGTATGATAAAGTTGTTTTAATACAAATTTAATAAATTGTATTTGGAATTTTTATTTACTAATAAACTTAATAGTTAGTTGTATAGTAATGTTTTTTTTAAAATAACTTTAAAATATAATTTTTTAATAAATTCTTTTAATAAGATGAAATTTTCCTTTTGAAATAAGTTTCTAACACTTCTTTACAAATTAATTTTACTAGTTTTCACCTAAGATTGGTTGTTTACTTTTTTTAACTAGTAAATAAAATTATTAATTGTGTTATTTTTATGAGATCATAAATGGTTGACCCTTAACAGTCGCAAAGAAGTGGTTTAAAAGCACACTCGATAAACAACAAAGATGCATATATTGTTGTCTATTCAACAATTAGTAGTAAACTAGACTGGTTAAAGAAGCTCATCACTTGAACGAGCTAGTAGTAATCATGGACTGCAGACCTCTAGATACTTCTGGGCCAAAAAACGAATTCACATTTTAGTCCATTATAAATGGGTGCAGCTTCTAACAAAAATGGTTGTTAAAATATGTAAATATTTAAAAAGCTCAATACACATGAATCTAAGTATGCGCAATATCATATGATTGATTGTTATTCAACATGGAGATTATTAGAAATAAAAAAATCAAAAGTTTTTACTAACACAACATGCAACAAATTGTGTTTTGTTGAAAGAAACCTCATAGTTGAACCAAGAGGAACAAGTGGGGGTTTGTTAATTCTTTGGGACCAGAAAGTGGAGATCATCAATATGTACACTGTTAGTTTCTTTATAGTAGTAGAGTGTTTGGTCAAACCGGGATATAATTCTTATCGGGCAGTTTTTGTTTATTTGAGTACTCAAACGGCTGAGAGATAAATTGAATGGAACTTTTTAACTGAAGAAGATGAAATATAGGATGATACGTTGTTTGTTGCAGAAGATGGATGATTTGTGCAACTCTGAGGAGAAAAAAGAGGCAGAAGAAGATATGAAGCAAGCTTCCTGGGGTTTAGAGAGTTCATAGCCTTTGGGAATGTAAGAAAAATCATTGAAAGGACAACACATGGGGAAATAACAGAGAAGGGGAGGGATTTGTGGAGGAGAAGTTGGATAGAATGTTTGCTTCCTTGAATGGCTCACCTTGTTTTTCTACTGCACAAAGTGACTAATTGTACCGTAGCCTCTTATTTTTGGAATCTGGTTCAAACACAACAAAGCCTCTTATTTTTGGAATCTGGTTCAAACACATCAACAAGAAATATGAGGTTTCAGTTTGATAAGAAATGGTTAAAGAGGGAAGGAGTTAAGTTGTCCAGCAAGCTTGAACTCTCCTAATTTGGGCACTCCAATGTTCACTGTGAAATAGCAGAATAAAAAGAAGAAGAGTGACACTTCTTATTTGGAGCAGACATTTCAGAATAGAAAATTCATAAAAGGTTGACAGTCTCTCGCTGAGATTGGAGAAGATGAGGCAGGAGAGAGGAGAAAGAAACTGGGATGACTGGCCCAGATTAAAAGAAAATTAGAATGTGCTCGATATTCTGCGGAACTCTTCTAGCAACAGAAAGACAAAACTCTATGGCTTAAAGAAAGACAAAAATTCTATGGAGTCATCGGATAGTTTTTTTATAGAGTCATCCACCACTTAATGTATTGACACATATCCAAATTATATTTATTGCAGGACACATGTCAATACACTATTGGTCAATAAGTGTGGATGACTCCATAAGTCGAGCCATCCGATGGCTCCATAGTCCATAGGAAAACTGTAAAGAAGGATACAAGAAATCAAAGTTCTTCCATGCCTACATTTTGCAGAAAAATGAGTAAAAATGTAGTTGACAGACTTATGACCGAAGATAGCATAATTCAACGGATGATCATTACATTACCAATGCAATTCTATAATATATGAGCTAAGCGGACACATATAATAGATAATAGAAATTATTCCCACGTAGAAATGCAATACAATATATTAGTGACAAATATAAAAATAATTTATAATTTCAAATATTTATTGAATATATAAATATTATAAAAATAATGATTTATATAGCAATGTAGAAATCATTTTTTTTATCACAATTCTATAACAGCAAAATTGTTGCCATTTGTTTAAAAAGAAAAAAGAAAAACTCTAGGATTTTAATTAAATTAAAGCATTATTATAGCAAGCTTTCATAAGATTTTGCGAGAGTTCTATACATAATGACTTGGACGGAGTTGCATTGTGTAAACAAAACGGTCCTAAAAAACCAGAGGCCGCTGACATCACCCAAATTGGCAAACCCCACTCTCCCTACACTCACACAATCTGAGAAAAGGCCACCAAATATTGCACCTAAGACCAGCGGTCTCCAGCTCTTGCCGCCGTTGTGAAACCCTAATGGCATCATCCGCGGCGGCGATCACCCCTCCACCGCCGGAGACATTGAATGCCGATGCGGACGATGGAGACGAGGATGTCGAGTACGAGGAGATTGAGGAGGAAATCGAGGTAGAAGAAGAAATCGAAGTGGAGGAAGAGATCGAAGTCGAGGAAGAGGTTGATGAAGAAGAAGTGGAGGCCAAAGATGCGGAGGAGGACGGGGAAGATGAATTTGGCGAGGACTTAACTCCATCACGCGAAGGGGATCAAGTAATTGGTTAGTTGTTCGTTCTCGATTTTCAAAATTCGATGTTTATTTGCCTTGCATCGTTTTCAGCTAATTAATTAACAATAATGATTTGATCTACTCGTTGCTGCATTGCTAGGGTTCAATAATTTGGAAATGCATGCCCTGTAGCTTGTTATATTTTTTTCATTCGTTTAAGCCAATTATCTGATGCGAGCATATCGGGAATTACTGTTTCGTTATTGTAAATGTTTCTGAAGTCAATTTATCCAGGTGATCTTGTGCACATGAACTGTTCTGCGATACAGCCATTTTTGCATTTTGATTTGAGTTGTTCTATAACTCATTTCATTTGAGAATTCAAGTGTTGTGTTTGATAGTCTGTAAGACTCTTTCAAATTTCGAATTAAACTATTACCTGATTCTGGGTCAAGTAGGATGCCTTCCATTTCCATGCCATGGGAAATGAGATTTTTATGACTAAATGAGGAAGGAGCATGCAATCTGACTGTTATCCTTCGAATCATCCAATGGGTCACTCCACAGTATTTTATCTTGGTGATTTATTATCGATGGTCATGCATGTCGCATGTGAGACGCGTGCCATCACGCGAAAAGTTGAATTATTGCCACGTGGCAGAACTTCGGGAGGATCTAACTATTTCCATTGTTCAGGCGTTGGCCAGTATGATGTGATAATTACTTTTCAACGAGGCATAATATTAAATGAGAGTAAACATCTGTCAAATTTCGTCAAATCTTCTAAGGTATCGTCATTGGTATTTTTGGAGACTCGCACTCGCACAGCATTTGTTTTGTCTTCTTGTGATTCCTGTTGCCATGTTGGAAAACCGTGGTTTTGTGTCGAGATTTTTTTTTGCTAGCTTACCTTAACGAAACTATAAAACCTTGAAGCCTGCTTTGTAGCCTTTTATCGGTTCCATTCTCTGTTGTCTTCTCTACCACTTATTTCTATGCTCACCTTCTCTCCTCCACTTCATTCGCTTTTTAAATAGAGAATTTTAGTCTGGCAGTTTAATATTTTCGGACACTCTAAGCAAATAAATGTAATTGCTTAATGTAGTGTACCGGGGGTGAAGTCAATAGAACACACAAACCCTAGAGACTAACCATGAAGACTCAAAAGGTTTGATTTGTCGGATTCATACCATTAAGTTGCATCCTTCTTGCGTGGGCATCCATCTTATTTGACAATTATTTTTCCAAAATGAATATTTGTAAGATTAAGAATTTTCTTAAAAGGGACAGTTTTCTGTATATGATATCCTAGAATGTAGTGGCATCAGTGAATATAAGCAGCTCCATTTTGGATTTTCGTAAAGATTTCAAAACTTTCAGTTATTCAACTCTAATGGAACACTGTGCCTATGGAAACGAGACATTCAGTTTATGATGGTGGAGGGACCCTGTTATTTTCATTTGGCTTGTTTTCTTCTAGACTTCTAGTACCTATTAAACTAGATGGATAAATAATAGAGTTTGAGATTTAGGGCCATGTCCACACATTTTTGGTACCAGCGCATAGGACTTCCAGTGAAAATATAGTATTTAATGAATCGGCTCAAATATGACAACAAATATTTCCTACTGAAGCCTAGAGCAGTTGGTGAGAACAAGCCGGTGTAGCTAGACAATCTCATTGTCAGACTGCTATCATGATATGTAACTTTTAAACTTTTGAAACCACAATATGTAAGCAATCCTATTATTGGTATTAAAACAAGGTTTAAAGTTAAGTGGAATTGCAAAATAAAGATATAGAGCATAATCTCAGATATTTCCATTCATCTCAAAATGAATTGTACAAGACAACTCTAGGTATATAGATGTTGCTTCTGGTACGTTACCACATGGACAGTCAACCCACTAACTTCTAGAAACTCCGAATAAATATAAAATGTAACTATTAGCTAATATAACTAGCATATCAACACAAGGTACTATGGTCTATTGTTATTTACTTATTCTTATAGTTCTGTCACATGGTACTGATTGGTGAGAAAGTAATGTTGGTATGTGTCACGAGACAATTGTTTGCATGAGAGACATAATGAAAGCGTGTCATTGGCTGTATGATGTAGAGGGTTTAGTTTCAGTGTTGATAATAGCTATATTTTTGTAGTATTTCGATTAGTGCCTTGCTCTTTCGTTGTTCACTTTTAAAATGGTCTTATTAAATATGTTTTATGACGCACACAATTTATTTTTTTTTAGGCAAAAAATTGATAATAGTTTGTGTAGCTATGTGAAAATACTTTAATCCTTGAAGAAATGATTGAGTTGCAACACTCAAACAATATGTTCGTCATTGTTATATTAATTGCATATTCCCGCTAGATATTAGAGTTTTCATTACTTTTTTCCCTGTAGTTCCACCTTTTCTGCTGTTCTTTTAATGCTCCATGGTATGAAGCATAAACTTGATAACCATCATGGAACAATTTCTTCTAATGCTCTCCTTTGCTGTTAAACAGATTCTTAAGCTCAGTTGTTCGTAATGCAACTTTATTTGATTTGGAGTTTTGGACCATGTTTTGTACTCAATAATATTATAAATCTTGCACTTTGTATGTGGGGCATTCGATCTGCATGCTTACAACATTGAAAACTCATCAACACCTAGGTATCCAGATCTGCATCTGGTGCTGTATGTCTTTCTGAAGATTTATTTTGTTTTATTTCTCTGTTTCATAGACATGGATCTTGAGGATGATGAAGAATACATACAATCAAGTCCTGTGATTCAAGGAATTTCTCTTTCAAATCCACTTATTGATATCCCCATGGCACCAAAAGATGTTGGCCCTGTGAAAATTTCCAAGTCAAGTGAGAAAGACGAATTACATGTCAATGGTGAGGACTTACGGTTTTCATTAAAATGAAGATAATAAGGTCGATAGTATTTAGTTACCTTGATAGACTGTCTTAAATAAATCGTTTTTTTAGATTTGATTTTGAAAACCAAAATCTGAAAGTGTATACTTTTGGGTTCCTGCAGGAGAAAGAACATCTATGGATGATACAAAAGCTCCTTTAGTGGGAGAGTTTAATGCTGGCTTTATATCAGCTGATGCTTCTAGACATAAGGAGAACATTATTATGTCTGTTGCTGGAGAAACAAATGACACTGAGACAGAAATTCTGGCCCACATAACACAGATGCCACCGAGGTTAAACTCCTGTTCGAATTCCAAATGTTGCACAAGTGATAAAATGATGCACAGTGAAATTAATTATGTAGGCGCCTTTATTTCTATCGTCCTTGATGGAAGTTAGTTCTGATTGTGATGAGGTATTTCAGGTTGCATGTTCCCCAGGTAAGGTTCAGGGAACCTTCCTCGATCGCTGAATTTGACAGAGAAAACAAAAAACTGAGGATCATGTGTGAATTTCATGCCAAAGGATGGTGCATCAAAGGAAATTCTTGTAGGTTCCTTCACACAAAGGATGGATTAGATGATTTGAAGAAAAGTACTGGATTGGAGAGACGAGGTATATTTATTTATTTTTTACCGCAAGTATATCTATTTATTTTGGCATGGACTCATCTAATTCATGTTAATTCTGGACGTATCTGTTTCATTATTTGCTCATTAAAGTCTTATGTTGGCTGGGGCACAGCTTCTTCAAATGTATGTGTTCCGCCACAGCCGAGTGAGAAGAACCTTGAAATAAATTGTGATTCTGAGAAGTTGTTTCTCCACGAGAATGATGCTTTAGGAGCCACTCCTTTAGAGGATGGTAGGAGTTTTGGACTCAACTTATACTTGAATAACTACCCCTACCCGCCCCTTCCTTTGGCCAAAGACAGGTTAATTGATAGGAATGTGATGTACACTGGGCATTTCTCCAGTTGTTCTGCCACATCCAATGAGAATCATCATCTAACTAGAACTTCTGCTTTTGGAACAACAGTAGAGGAAATGAATAGTAAAAATAGGGACCTAAGGTCCTCCGATTTACTTTATTCACACTCTAGGCAGCCGTTATCTCTTGGTTCGTCCTCTTGGAACAATGTCGCCCTTGGAACCGACAACCTTTTAAAGAGTGGCATTGAGCGTCATGCTTCTGTATCCTCTTCCTTACAAAGAGACATTTCAGGGGTTCCTTGTTCTGAATCGGAAAAGTTGCTACGTAGTCATAAATTTGGGGGCGTAAATCCAGACAAATCCAACACTAAGTCATCCTCTGGTTATTGGGAGCCATCGGCCCCTTTTCGTCCGTCACATGCTGTAACTCGAAATCTGTTGATGAAAGAAAATCTGTATGACCCCATATGGGATAGCATTAACCAGACAGATGTTAAAGATGGACGGGTGAAGTTTTCACATTCTGACCAAGGTTCATCTGTCAAGAATTTAAACGTGCATTCACCAGAGGAGAGGCCTTTGGATTCAGTTCATGTTGGCGATAATGTGAAAGATAATAAAATGAGCTCCAGTAGTGATAATAAACTGAAAGTTGACGAGAAAAGGCATAAGACGGTAGTTAAAATTGATGGATCTAGCAAAAACATGGGGACTGTTGTCGATTTTAACAGAGATGGTCATGTGCAAACTGAATCAAAGGCTGCTTTGAAAAGTTTCCAGTCAGAACTTATAGAAGTCGTGAAGGAATTGATTAGACCGACTTGGAATGAAGGCTTGTTGAGCAGGGATGCTCATAAACTAATAGTTAGGAAGACGGTTGACAAGGTTATCTGCTCATTCCAACCCCACCAGATTCCGTGCACGGGTGAAACAATTAAGTTGTATCTTTCTTCATCTCGGCCCAAACTTGCAAAGCTAGTTCAGGTTAGTGTCCTCACTGGATGGGTGACAGCTTTTCATATTTGATGCTTTTGGTAACAATATAATCCTTTATTGTTTGATAGCTGTTCATTACAATTGCAGGCTTACATCGACAAGTATGGAAAAACCTGAAACCTGTTCAAGCAGCCTTTGTACCATAGTATGTCTCTCTCCAAAAGGTCCAAAAGGACATTTCTCAGAACCCTAGTTCATGGGCTTTTATGTTTATTTCCTTTGTGATATTTGGTTACTGCTGAGACAGTGACTTATTTTGCATAATGGATTAAACTTTGATACTCTTTGAAGCTGTCTCTATTAATCTGACTTTTATGGATCTAAAAATTGATTGGAATTAGTCTGCATATAGGTCTTTAGATCCAGTAGGTGCAACTGAATGATACTGGTACAAGTTATTTCCTGATAGTAGTCTCTTGGTTATAGGCCATTTTTCAAGTTAGAGTGCTTTTAGAATAGCCTAGAGTTCAAATCATTACTCTCTATACTACATTGACTGATGAGCTTGTTTTTGGAGTAGCGAAGATTAAAGGCAACATATAGGTAATAATGTACGCGTGAATGGCATGGGAAATTAGGGTTGGCCACATGGAATTTAAAAACACGTATTTTTTCTAACATTGGACGATGATAGAGATGTAGAATGGGACAGGCTGGAGGGTAATTGTTTGGGAAGAAGCATATAACTACACTATTTTGTTGTCTTTTATTTCTCTCTTAGGAGCGTAGGGCAATGACACGGGGTTCGTCTGGTCCCCTACCGTCACTAGATTATTTGGGCATTTTATTCGTGTAATCTACTCTAGCCAGTATGGGTGTGATTAGATATCAATCAATCAATCAATCAATCAACAAGCCATTAAAATCCCACTAAGTGGGGTCGGCCATATGGATCACATGTCGCTGCTCGATCAAAACACATATTTTCATTCAAATTTAAATATTTTAAATCCTTTTTATTGTTTCCTTCCAAGTTTTCTTAGGTTTACCTCTCCCCCTTTTAATTTGCGCTTTTAATTCTAATGTTTCTATCCTTCTCACCGGGCATCGAAGCCTCTCCTACGCACATATTGGATATGTTTTGGAAAAAAAACAAATTATTTTTAACTCAATCACTTATTTTACCTAAACTTTAGCTCAACCCTACTATCCTCAATATTATCAATATAATTAAATAATAACAATAAATCACACATCACATTAATTTTAATTCACTATTCATCTACTCATATAATTTTAACTAACCATCCCTCCACATCATCTCTCTCCTACTTTTACTTCAAATCAACTATAACTACTTTATTTTAAATATTATTTTAATATAAACTCAAAATCTCACTAACATTTAACTACAACACCTTTTTCAAAATTAACTATAATTAACAAAAAAACCAATCAAAACCAAATCAAATCACACCCTAAGTAGACGTGAGATCCATGTGAGATTCGAAACCGATGGCAAATCCATCATCGTAACTATAATTCTAAGAACCTTAATTGTCCGATTGGATATGTAATTGTTCACCTCATGGTCCGAAAAGCTAACCATCTATCAAGAAAAAACAGTTAGAACGACCCCAAGTAAAAAAATAGTTATGACCTACTCCAACTCGTAAAAGTCGGTTCAAAGAAATTCAACCATACTGTTATTTTTTTTCTATATTATTTATCATATATAAAAATATATATTTAAATATCTTGTCATTTATCAATTATTTTATTGATTAATTAATGATTTATAATATTTTAAGTTATTTAGATATAGAGTTTATTGTATTTTTTGTTAATTAAATAATTAATTAATATATTACACAATTTTAAAAATATTAATAGATGATTTGTGAATAATTGAACTTGTAGCTTCACCATTAACGAATTCTGGGTTGGAAAGTCTATGCTACGAATTTGTGATATACTTGGAGCTTGGAGCAAATGAACGTTTTTTTTAAATTCATCCTTCAAAGTAAATTTCTTCGTGTTTGACAAAATTTTCATGGAAAATAGACTATTCACCCACTGCACTTTTCTCTTCTCTATATTAGCAATTTAATTTTTAAAAAATTAATCATTACGTTATAATTTCCTTTAGTTTCCTTTAAAACGTAGTATTTAACTACTAACATGTTTCTAACTAGCAAGTATTATTTTACTACTTTTATATTACACCCACATAAAAAAAATATATCAAACGGCACAATGCACCTTGGGTTGCTACGGAAACAGGAAACAGCCTCCTTGTATAATTACAAGGGTAAGGTCTGCGTACAACTGACCCCCCAGACCCCAACCTGTTGGGAATATACTGGGTATGTTGTTGTTGTTGTTGTTATATTACACCCACATAAAAATTAAATTTTCAACTATAAATAATTGATTTCATCTTACAAATATTCACCTTCTAAAAGTTCTTACAACAACAACAACAACATACCCAGTATGTTCCCAACAGGTTGGGGTCTGGGGGGTCAGTTGTACGCAGACCTTATCCTTGTAATTATACAAGGAGGCTGTTTCCGTAGCGACCCAAGGTGCATTGCGCCGTTTGATATATTTTTTTTCTAGAAACTTCACTAATAGAAGAAGCACTAGAATTTAATTGAGCCATTTTGATCTAGTCCATTATTAGCACTATGCCAGGAGAATTGTCAACAATGACCCTTCTAAAAGTTCTTCATTCCACAAATTGTTTTCATCATTATTCATTAGTGGATTAAAAATTTTCAAAATGAAATTGTATTCAATTGTACCTCCATTCTTTCATCTTTTAATCTAAGGTCTATTTGCGAAACAAATCACGTTCTTTACTTCAATTGCAATTTAAGCAAAAGTTTTGAATTTTGGCAATTTAAGGCACGAATTGTTTTTGCAAATTAGGATACAAATTTTCATCTTTTGCAAATTAAGGATTTTGCAAACATTAAGGAGGATGTATTCGTTTTGGATTTCTAAAGACTTTAAGATTTTAAAAATCATGGCGTATTTAACTTAGACTTTCTTTTAACTTTTATTGAGTTTTAAAAATGTGGAGGTATTCATTTGTGATTTTTAAAAGTTACAAAATCCATTTGTTAGGACTTTTAAGATTTGCTGAGATTCCAAAAGAGAAAAACCATATGCGGAAATCTCACTCCCAATCTCATCTCCAAACTTAAGATTTCATATGATTCTTCCTAAATATAAACATCTTAAAGTCTTAAATCTCAAAAAGTCTCAAAATATCGTTCAAAACCCCAAACGAATACACCCCCAAAATATGACTTTTCATCTTTTGCAAATTAATACACGAAGCAAGAAATGGAAGAATACATATTCCATTGGCTGCAAATTAAATCTCAAATCTTAAAACCCACCGTCTTAGACCCTATATCTATCGCCTCGCCTCAAACTGTAGATCATAAGGCCTTTATGTATAAAGTATATTTGTTGCTACTTCGGCCTAGATTACCAGCCGTTCAGATTTGATGTGACCATCAAATTTATGTTCTCATTAATAGATGAGCTGAAATAATTTTTTTTTTATTTAGGGTGTATCATGAGTAGAGCTGTTAAATTAAACGAGCTGCTCGTCAAGGCTCGAGCTCGGCTCGACTCATTTGATAAACTAGCCAAGCTCGAGCTCATTTAATGCTCATTCAATTAACGAGAGCTCGACACGATAATTTTTTTGTATTTTTTATAGTTCGCCTCGATTTTGGCTCGTTAAGGCTGGAGCTCAATTATAAGCTTCTTAAGTTAACGAGTCGAGCTCGGCTTGTTAAGGGTTCGAGCAACATGAGCTCAAGCTCGGCTCGACTCGTTTACACCCCTAATCTTGACCTTGAACTTGAGCCGGCCAACTCAGGGGTTCATAATGATGAGTCATTCACCTCCATTCTCATGTTTTGTAAGTTTAGCTGATATGTGAGACATTTGGATCACAAGATCATGGATGGAGTGGAATCAATCAAACTTTTATAGGCGAGCTCTCTTTTGAGACTTCCTCCAAGAGACTTGTTCGCAGTTTTAGACTGAGACAACTCTTTTTATTTACGCGAGCTCTCTTTTGAGACTTCCTCCAAGAGACTTGTTCGCAGTTTTAGACTGAGACAGCACTTTTTATTTACGCGAGCTCTCTTTTGAGACTTCCTCTAAGAGACTTGTTCGCAGTTTTAGACTGAGACAACTCTTTTGATTTTGGTTAGAAATTCTTTTGTATTATTTGACTTTGAAGTTTTTCTCTTATCCACTATGGTTACTTCATAAAATTCAAACACATCCTATTTGATTGTTTACGAAGAGTTCTTCTTTGGAGCTTTCATCAACAAGCACTTCATCAATAATTAGAGTCATATCCAAGTCTATCGTACCTAACTAAAAATGGATATACTCAGACCGTTCATTGTTCATTTGACTGTTCATTAGAAAATATTGACTGACACACATTCATCGATGATTGACACACATTTTCATCGATGACTGAAACTTAAGTTCATACCTTAATTTGCAATATTTAAAGTATTGCATTAAATTGACAAAAATGCAAAGTTGTGCTTAAATTGCGATTTAAGTAAAGGTCGTGATTTATTTTGCAATTTTACCTTATATTGATGAAAATGAGTTTTTAATTGTTACAAGGGGACAAACGAGTATAAATATATAAGAAACTGTAAGGTATAAGCTCAAAACCCGGTGCAACATCCTTTTAAGGCTATGTTTGGTAAAACTAACTGATAAGCTAGCTATCTAGCTAGATAGCTGATAAGCTATCTTATAGCTTATCAGTAATTTTTTAACTTATTGCTTATAGTTTATGATTTATAGCTGAAAAGCTAGCTTATATGATAAAAGTGTTTGGTAAAATTAGTTGATAAGCTAGCTGAAATAAAAAATTCAACTAGCTTATTTGAAAAGCTACCTAAAGTAGCTCGAGCTTTTTAAAAAAGCTCGTCTTACCAAACGAGACTTATTTGAACACAGGGAGCTTATAAGCTAACCAAATAAGCTATAAGCTCGCTTATTTGTCTACCAAACATAGCCTAAGAGGTATCATTTGAACTATAAGCTTGTGATATATCCTACAGGAACTTGTGAACTCTCATGCAATGTTCAGTTATTACAAATGATATATCATTAATAACTTAAAACATCATAAGAAGTAAATGAAGAAGAAAACAACAGTTATGAACCATACCAACCCATCTTGATATGCATCGGCTGTCATGTGTCAAGCTTCGGTCGCAAGCTTCTTATGCTTCAATTAACTCATCAACATCTTGATAAAATTATAGTTTTATTGTTTTTCCTAATGAGGTGATAATTGACAGTAATGATACTTCCATAATTCATAATTGTTTAAAGTGGAGAATCTATTTTCCTAACATTCTCAAATCAAAGGTAGACCTGAAATGTAAAAAATGTCACATTAAAGGTATATATGTATGTATCATTATTAATATGTATACATCATAGAACCAATAAATATACATCGATATATGCATAATTATTAAAATTTACTAAATATATACCATTACATATAAATATACACTAATACATAACTTCAAACTACTGGGTACACTAGATTAATAATAAATATACACTATTGCATGAATTATCATATTAATAACAAAATATATCAATATTTGAGTTCACTATGTATTAACTACCAAATCGACAACCTTAGGATATGATATTTTATATAAGTTTCTCATAAAAAATTAGTTAGCTTCTACATAAATATAAACTAATAGAGCTGTCAATTTTAAAAATTTTAAAAAAACATTAGCTATCATATGTTCAAATAAGTCTTTTTTAGTATAGGTTTTTGATAAAAATCCATTTCAAGAGATTTATATAGTTTAAAAGAGTAACATATAAAATGTACCATTTAAATTTATTTTGCAAGATTAAGTATGTATTTCGAATAGAGTTTATCTTACCATATGATTAAGTTTTTTTTTTTTAATAATATTAAGTAATAGATAGAGACCAACTAATAGTAAGTCGAATTAATATACTCAATGTCATTCAAAAAGTGGTGTTACGAATCAGCATTTATGGTTTGCAAAAATGAAAATTTTATTTTCCTTATGAATCATGCGTGTTTAATAGGTTTTAGGTTATTATAACTCTTGCAAATAATGTATTTAGAGATACATATATTGCTTGAGAAATCCTATTTGTTAGACTAGATTGACAATAGAAATGTAAAACTCTTTACCAGTGGCAATCATTATTTTACTAAAAAGAATATACTCAATTTAAGAATCTAAAATAAGGGAGATACTTAAATTGACATGCTACCCTTAATATTAAGCAGCAATAAATAAAACACAGTTTAGGAAAGAGTAATTACCAGAAGTATCCTAAAACACATTCACAGTTCCAACTTGACCTCTGAACATGTGAAAATTTATATTTTAGTATTTTACCATTTTCACCTTTTTTTCCGTAGAAATGACTTGGTGTGCTTTTCTTTTGAGGGAGGTGTGGGGGTGGTACAACAATTACATACTCAAACGTATCATATAATTTCAAAATTGGCCTTCCACAACTTTTATCAACCAGCTTACTGGAATCTCACCTTAATCTATGTCTAAGAAAACAAAACAAAGAAAAGTCGCCAGAAACTATGGTCAAAAAATAAAAAATAAAACAGAAGGTTAGAGCCTATAATTGATAAAGTTTAGAAGTTGATGTACTTTTTTTATGACTAGCTCTTTAGCAAACTTAGCTCAATTCAGGAAATTTAAGCTATATTCTTTTAGATTGTCTATGAAACTTGTTGCAGTAGTTTGAAAGTTCGGAAAGAAGATCACTCTCAAACTTATGAAAATTTACGGAGTTAGAAAATATAGTAGCCCAAAATATGCTAAATGTGATAGCATGTAAGACTAAAAGCTAGATGAATAATAATGAAGAATGGTAATAGTAATCAAATAACTTGGTGTACGACCACAATCTTGTCTGCACATGGTGTAATATTATATAAAAGAAAGTAAAATGTATAGGGCTTCTACTATGTACAGCATATATATTGGTGTAGCTCTTGAGATGAAGTCAAATGATCTGGAGTATGAAATAGTGAATATTTTGGTAATTTTATGGTGAAAAGCTTGTAAGGGCAATGAATAACCAGGCTTAAGGTGTGCCTTCGAGGATAGACTTGTTATCCTTGACAGGATAATGTATTTGTTGAAAGCGGTATACGTTGGTGCAGAACTAACTTAATCGGTATATCATCTATGAATATAAAAGTATCTTTCTACTGGAACAAATCAAAATATACTTAGGTTCCATATTTTGAACTTGTGAAATATTCATAACTCCGTAGCGTATTACAACCAAAAGACATTTAGCCTTGACATCTGTACGTTGCTAGCTGGTTAAATATGGTTGTGTAATTTCCTTTTATTTCTCTTCAAGGAAGGCTTTAATGGATGCTGATTCATTAATTGGGACCCACTATAAATTTAAGGTGTCTCTTAATGGTTTTAGTAATATGGCCAAGTAACAAACATCATTGGGGCTCACAGAAATATCTTGAGTGGGGACTCTGCATTGTCAACACGAGTGTATATAAGTAAGCTCATTGAGTAGAACTCTGACGAGTTCAAACCATGATTTTGTATTTCTCGTACATGTTGGAAAGAAGGAAAATGAGTCCTCTGGATAAGATTGTTGTATGTTGACTTAGAAATAATTTAAATGTGGAGCCTTTCAGAATGCTGAAATCAGGATTATTGTGAAATGCTTTAACATTCTAATAAGGGCTTAAAAGAAAAGGGATCTCAATTGTTCTAGTTCTTTTGACTTGCTTTGTTCTAGTTCTAGTTCTTTAGTATATCCTTGACTCGTGCAGACCTGAGGTTGACTTTACATTCAATGAAATTTTAAATTTCGAATAGATTCGAGTTCTGAATATTTGTTATTATTTTAATTCCAGATATAAGAGATCTGAAACATTCATAATTATTTGAATTCCAGATATAAATCAGGTTTAAATCCATTGACATAGTTTTGAGGTGGAAGTTAATTGATTTTGTTGTTGTTATTCATGATTTATTTAGGAGGGAGGTAATTTTTATTTTATTTTTTGTTATTACGCATATCATGTATCTTACAATTGGTAAGATTTTAAATTGCATTTGAGCTTCTGGCTCTGAGTTCTGAATAAGCAGAAGGAAAAAAGAAAGAGATAACAAAAAAAGAAAAAAGAAAGAAAGAAAGAAACATTGTTAAGAAGGGTTTTGGATGGGCTGTTATCTTAGGTTCGGAATGCAAGGTTTTTGGACCGACAGATGTAATAAATGAGAGATCTTTACATCTTTACTGATAATTTTCCAACTTCTTTCTTGTGACTAATAGAATCCCTGCTAGAAGAAGCCTGATTTCAGTAGTCTGCAGATGTTCTCTAGACATGCTGGTACAGATCCATAATCCAAGCCACAAGAGCATTAAAAAAATTTGGAAGTAGTTTGTTATTTCCATGATTGTATTGTATATTGTTTCACTTGTGCTTGTTCGAGGATATGCTGCAATCTCCTCTAAGGCATGACACATGATAAACAGCTTCTCTGGGCCAACAGCTTTTTCTCCTCTGGTGCGTTTTTCTGCCTTTTTTTGTTTTTATATTCAGGATTTTGAAATTTTCCTTCTTGTGACACTTCTATAATTTGACTGCTTCCTGTCTGACCCTGTGTTGTGATTTGGGCCTTGTGATGGTAAAACTTCTAAAGGCTAATTTGTTTGGGGTCTTGATGTTGGTTGAAGAAATTGTTTTTGCCGGCTTTGTGTTGAAAAGATGATTTTTTCAGAAGTGATTTTGTTGTTTGGGCCTCACTGGCACTGGAATTGCCGAATTTTGATTTTGCTTCTCGTTTTTTGTATTTGGAATGTAAAGCTACGTACACCTGCAAAGGTTAGAGACCTGCTCGAGACAAAATCTGAGGATACGCATACGTACGGTGATGTTTTCTTTGACATTTCCTTTGCAAATGCTGGGTTTCAGTGTATTTTGGGGGTTAGTTGACTAAATTTTGCTTTGTTATTGAGCTTTTTATATTTTGGGAGTCCTTTTTTTTTTTTTTTCGGCGTACTGTATAATTGTGGATATCTGTATATGTATGTATATCTCCGTATACAGAGGTCATAATCATTTTGAGTGGTAACATGAATTTGCCTTTGTCCACTTTTAGGTTTTATTATGGTTAAGAACAAATATTTGTTATTTTTACATGTGGTGTAACCCTTATAAAAGTTTGTGCTTAGTCGATATTATGGTGAAATTTTTGTGGAGGTGGAACTTTGCTGCTATGTAACTGTAAATGTTGTTGGTATTTGGTGACGTTTGTATGGGGTATTATTCGTAGACTTCGTTATAAATTGGATCACAAATATGAAATTAATTTTTAATTTTTCCAAAATGAAGTAAAATTGAAGATTATGATGGCAGTGGGAGTGGAGTCTCTACTTTCCACCTCGATTTGTTGTTTCTGTTTTGTATCAAATTAGTGGGCCGAGTGGTTATCTCAATGTCTTAGGTGTTTGGGCCTCATGGCATAGGTCCACTCATTTAGAGAGTGGGCTTCACGCTCATCGTCATACTATTAGGCCTGAATTTAGATTCTTATGTGGACGTGTGTTATGATTCTGAGTATTGACAGTCCATAACTGTAAATGGATACACTTAGAATTTTCCAGACAACTTCNTAATAATAATAATAATAATAATAATAATAATAATAATAATAATAATAATAATAATAAATTAAAAATGTCTTTTGACTTCACTAAAAAATCCCATACCTGTTTCTCCGGAGCTAGATTTTTCCTTTGCTATCACAATTTTACTACATCCCACGTGGATTGGAATCATCGCTCTTTTTTCTACAAATCTTTTTGTCCGCAACCTAATCATCTAGGAAGATGAAAGGTAAATGATCCCATTAGTTATCTCATAACAAAACATTATGATTTTATATCGAACACCACGAACTGACTTCGAGTTCTCGTGACTTGCAAAACACCGGGAGGGATTCGGGTGTAAAATTTTCATCAGCAACTACACGTGAGAAAAAATGGCAATAATTGTGCTTAAATACGTATGTATGCGAGATGTATAAAATAAGAGCTTAGTCATCCTTATATATTAGGGTGTCTTGATGCCTAAGAGAGTTTTGATTAAAAAAAAGATCCTCTCATTTTCATATATACTTTTCTAACGAGTCACGTTACTAGAATTTAACATTTTAACAAGATACACTTTTCATCTTAAAAGGATTCTATCCCTCTTACCACGACTTTCACCTCTACGACCTCCGAGTCATGAGATATCGCTCAATATCTGAGCTCTTGAAGTTCTCAACCTCTGAGCTCTTTGACTTAAGCCAACTTGTACTTTGAGCTATCTAAGTGAGATTCTAGAAAAGGTTGTATTCTGAAAACAAACTGTGTATTTAAACCGACAACAACCGAGCTAACTACTCAGGTCGGTTTATAGAATTTTTCTGAATGATATATCGTATCTCTCATTTATTTAAAAACTAACGGGATAACAAAAGGTGGTGAAGAAACCCCACATCTAGTAAAACAACTATTGAGCTTGTTGAGTTTGTGATGCGACGCCTCGGTCTTGACGAGGGTTGCGAAAGAGCGCCAAATTTCACCCTTCTAAAGCTGGACGAGAGTCGCGCCCGAAAAACGCGAGTCGCGGAAGCTGGACGCGAGTCGCGACTGAAAGATTCCCTACTGCACAGATTATTCTGTATTTGGCCGCGAGTCGCGACTTCAACTCGCTAGTCGCGGACTGGGGGCCACGAGTCGAGGATTGAAGGCCGCGAGTCGCGGACTGCAGCTACCACTGGTATGGACTACTTTGAAGTTGGCCGTGAGTCGCGACTAACACCCGCGAGTCGCGGCAGCATGAATTAACCCTATGTTTTAGGCTCGTTTGGATCCGTACAAATTCAGTTTCTAGTTCCGTTTTTTCCTACACGTAGCCAACGAACCCTTATACGAGACCTATAAATGACTTATTGCATTTTGTTTTTAGCAACTGAGAGTGACCAACCGACTTGCGAATGGTTGGTCTTGTATAGCTTCATCTTGCGAATGGGGAACTGAATTTGTGATTTCTCATTATGCTTTTGTAAGCCATAAAGCAGTTGTCCGAACCAGTTTTGATCTATATATTTATATTTAACGATAACAAAAAAAAACTATTTTCAATAAAAATTACCTCATCTTTGGTTGGACCCCAATTTGTTTGTGTATTCAATATTCATACAACAAGACAAAACCTATGCAATCAGCAATTGTGCAGCCAGCCCTCCAGGCTCCATCACGACATAATTTTATAGGTCCCATGTTTATTTTAGTCCTCATCCTTATCCACATAGCTTTCTCCTATTTCCACTCCCAATTCCCAAATTACCACACCATCCTTCAGCTATTAGTGCGTAGTGGAAGTAGAGAAAGTACCCTGAAAAACACTAATTTCATTATCTTTTTCCAAAGCACACCGAGTCACCGACTGTTGTAGATATTTTATCACCAAACATTATCTATTTATCACCCTCACAAGCCACCACTAAACTTCACACTCGCTCAAAAAAAAAAGGGTAAAATCAGAAGAGAGAAGGGAAAAAAAGAAGTTTGAGAAGAAAAAGATGGTGCTTCTTGATCAACTCTGGGATGACGTCGTCGCCGGGCCTCAGCCCGAACGCGGCCTCAAACACCTCAAGAAAGTCTACACCAAGCCCATCAACATCAAAGGTTTGCTAGACAAGCTTTTATCAAACTATAAGTTCGAAAGATCTGGATTAGAAAGAGATCATTATGCATAAATATATCCTCATAAAATAAACACACACACACACACGCACTTGTTTAGATCTGAAATAAGTAAGTAATTATATCCTCGTTATGGAGAAGATAAAATATTTTAAAATAAAAATCGTATGTGTTTTGTGTTTGTGATGAGTAGAGGGTGGAGAGAGTAGCAGCGGCGCCAAGTACGGCAGATCTGTGTCTATGCCGGAGAGTCCCGGGACGCCGCCGACGCCGGGAACGCCGTCGCCGACGGGGGCGAAGAGGGAGAACGTGTGGCGGAGCGTGTTTCATCCGGGGAGCAACCTGGCCACTAAGACCATCGGCTCCAATTACTTTGACAAGCCACAGCCAAACTCCCCCACTGTCTATGACTGGTGCCATAATAATAATAATAATAATAATAATAATAATAATAATAATTCATTTTATTCACTTTTGTAATTTTGGTGATGTAATTTGCAGGCTGTACAGTGGGGAGAGTAGGAGCAAACATCGCTGAAGTAAAAAAGAGTGTTGGGATCACCGGCAATTGGATCTTGGATGTAAATTTTGTAAATAGTGTGTGACGATTTCCAAGTTTTCATGTGATTAGAGCTTTGTTTTATCTATTTATCTATCTGCTGCTTTTGTGGGACTACTTTTTCTACTTTTGTGTGTAAAAGTAAGCACACTGTAGGTTTTATTGTAAAACTTTATGGACGGTGTGGATCATCTGTCTTATTGTATTTTCTTTGGTTTTTCTGTAATATAAGTGGACTGGTAATTTTTCTGTAGCAATGGAGTTTATTTTCTTTAATAGCTGCACTTTAATTAATCGTAAATTAAGAAATTATGTCTTCAATAATTGATATTAATTATAGTATAATTTTACATTGTATATTTTTTTAATTGATTGAAGAAGAGAGACAAATTAAATAATATAATATATAAATAGAATATATTTAGAAGTATTTCTATAGTTAGAAATTTGTAATACACAGGTGATGATGTAACCATGACTGACAATTTGCAACTGTAGCCTATGTGATGACTACAATTATTAATTGCATGTATTAAAATAATTAAAAATATTGATGAGTATAAAAATAATTTTGAATATTATTATTAATTTGTTTTTTTTTATTTTATGATATATAATAATTTAATATATGATCTATATGTTTATTCACGTCTTATAAAGTAGTTGTAATTTTAGAGTTACTGATTAGAATTAAAGATAATAAAAATTTAACATATTCAAATATTATCAATAAATATTAGTTACATAATACTTTTCTGAATTCTCTCTCTAAATCTAGTTATTAATTTTATATTTATTTAATTTGATATTAACACACACACATATATATATATATATATATATATATATATATATGCTATAATATTGCTACTTCCATAAAACCAACGATATTATCGATTGAACTCTTTACACCGTATCTAAAATACTAATGGAAAGGATATTTTACTAACAAAGCTAAAATTAGCTCCAGCAGCAAATAACAACTGATTGCAGTACCAAACATCAAACAGTATAACAATCCCTAACAATTAACATACAGCTCTGTTCTAACAGAAAAACTAAAAGCAACATTTATCACAATTTGAAGGAACCAATAACTGACAACCACTAACAAGGAATCTTGAGAAATTCAGGATTAGAATTTGATAAAAGATTCCGGCTCTACATGGTGTGTACACTGCCAGGTCTGAACGCGTTTGATCTAACGACTCAGGCTCGAAGATGGCACTAGGGTGAAATTCACCGAAATTGGCCATGAATTATTAAGTCAAAATTAAAACAAAAATAGGAAAGAGAAAAGACAAAGAAGAAAAGAAGTGATCGAGGGTGAAAGTTGGAATAACTCAGGTTTAACTTCACCATGAAGTCCATGACACAATGCAAATCCAAACAAACTTGTCATGCACGTTTTTTTTCGCAGGCCAAAAACTATCATTGGTCACTCATCTATTCTATGTAGGGATGTACGAACAATTGAAGTATATGAATATATAAGTTTATAACAAAACCACTGTAACTGAAGCTGGGAAAAATGAAGAGCTGACCAGCTCCGAAAGCATCAGGTTGCCACTAGAAGAGTTTAACTTGTATAGCCATTAACTTAAAAACAAAAACATATACAATAATATATATATTTTTCAATATAACAAAGTAAACATTACTCTCGTCTCGAATTTGAACAAACTTCATTCCACAAAAGACGCCTGCTTCATCCTCATCGAATTTCCTTAGCCTTGTGCCTTTTCTCGGTAAGCCAAAACCTGAATAAAGAAATCAACAAAATTTTACTTCATTTCCCATGAACGATTAAGCACCCTGTATAAAGAATTGAATGGTCAGCTGTCCAAATTAAAACAAAAGAACGATGTGGGACACGAGTAGATTGAAAAACGAAAGAGGTATATCCATATGGCTGTTGTTGGATACAACAACCATGCTAAACGATGACGTATCAAATTCTAGCGTTGAGTCAAATTTTACAAATTTGGCCTCCTTCTGAAGCTACTGGTATTTTTACTCGTTGTGTGTGCAATTTATTCGTAACAGTGGACTGCGATGCATGCGCACAAGAAAACCAAAACGTACAAAACTGTATAATTATGCACAAAACTAAACAGAAAAAAATGAAATAAAGTAAAAAAAAGATCCACAGATAGCAAAGTATTTACCAAGTTTTGCTGAGTAAAATTGGCATGAATTTCCCCCAACGTCTGGTCTTCGTTCAACAGCTGCATCTCACTGAGACAAGGGTCCACAATGCCAAGTTCACCTTTGAAACTAGAAGAGATCTTCACAGGAGGAAAATCTTTTACAATCAAAATCTCGATTTGATCAGCTTCGGTCGATGTCTGCATAGCAACATACTGCCAGAACGTAGATTTATAACCATTCAGAATCTGTACCTTATTCAAATATGCATAGCAGCCCAATTTCAAAGAACTACAAAAACTTCTATGGAAACGTAACCTGGCTTAAGTGTCTAACTGATGACTTCTGGCTGCAGCAGAGATAAGGCCGTTTCAGGCAGGGTATATTCCCATCACTCAGCGAAACAAGCTGGAGATTAATTTTCAACTGTACAGAAATAATCCAACTTAAGTTCACTAGAAAGGGTGTGCAGTGACTGGTGAAGAATCTTTTATGAGATAATCTCATGATTTCAATAGTTCAGTCAGCATGAAGAAATTGCAGTACTGCTAAGCCCTCACTCATAGTCAGTCACCAATTCAACCATAAAAGTTAGATTGGGGGAAAAAATAGGTTTAATATTTCCAAATCAAAAGCAAAAGATTAGGGTGCTTGGATACAAAACTTTTCAAAAAATTCAAACATTTTTAACTCAACCACACTATCATCAATATTATCAATATAATTAAATAATATCAATCGATCATTCTTACACACCACATCAACTTTAATTCACTATTCATCAACTCACATAATTTTAACTAACCATCACTTAACACCATCTCTCTCTTACTTTTACATCAAATCAACTTTTAATTATTTTATTTTAAATATTATTTTAATATACTCACTAACAACTAACCATACCACCTTTTTTCAAAATTAACCAAACAAAAAAAAAAAAAAAATTATATCCAAGCATCAATAATTACCACCTCATCATTATCAGTCGCACTTTTGAGATGCTCTATCAGCTTCGTGAGCCTGCTATTCCTCGACAGTTTGCCATTGACCCAACCATTCCCACCATGCCTTGTGTTACTCCGCAAACGGCCTCTTCCCCAGGCAAGAATCTCAGTGCCCCCTATAAGCCCGACAGAGGCACCTTGCAGTTCTCTGCTGGCTTCCGGGTCATTATCTTCATCTGCATTGGCTCCTGACCACTGCTCTGAAGACCGACTTCCTCCCCATCTTTTGTGCCTCTTTGATTTTACTTCAGGTGAGCGCTCCTCGGCAGAAGAAGAGTCTTTGCTGCCATTAGTTCCTTCGTCTTCATCAGAGTCGGGGTATTCAGAAGCCCGATGAGTTCGCCTTCCTCTCGAGTTCCGGTAAGTGCTCTGTCGTCTAGAAAACGCAGATGCTGTCACTCTACTACCTGTTCGTTTCTTTCCCAGTGCTTCTGCTTGCCGACGAAATGTCTGCGAAATTGAATCTTGAATCTGGTACAACAGAAGCTTGCGTCAAGAAGGTGTTGGGTTTTATAATTTTTAAGATCTCAGTTTGAGGCTTTTTCTTTCAGGTTATTTGATTTTTTTTTGGGGGTATACTTTCTTAGTTTATTAAACTACTTCTTGGAGGGATTTGGTTAGTTCAGTTTACTTTAATGTTTTTTATTTTATGATTTAGTTTTAGGGGACCGGATTATGGGGTCAAGATCTGGGTGCTTCGAACAGAAAAGTTAAGTTCAACTAAGCTTATGACATTTTTGTTTCGCATAGAAATGGCCTTTCATGAGTAGATGCATAGTATGTCCTGGAACTGCTGAAAAAGTAAAGACAAGCCTATTGTGATAACTTGGAAAAAATCAGAAACACGGTTCTGCTGTTTGCGGCCATAGATACTTCAGGCACAAAGATGGATGCCTGACTCATATGCAGCAGAGTTTCGACCAAAATTATCTACCTGCTTATTGCGAGCCTTCTCCTCTTCATGGAAAGCCAATTCCTAAAACAATGATAGCAAGTTAGCAACACAGTTGATAATAAAGATTAAAGCAGAATAGACCTCATATTGACTCAAAGAATAGGTAAATTAATCAGTAGCTACCTCTTCCTCGTATTTATCAATATCAGGATACAAAGCAGCAATGAGGGCATCATAATTTGGATCATCCCTTAAAGAACGGCGGCTAGCACAATGTGTGCGGCATGCTGGACATTCATTGTTCCTGAATTCAAAATCAATAGAAAATCAGAAGGCAACAAACCTTTCAGTAGCTAGATTAGATTAAACGACCAAGAAAAATACAAAAACAAAAAACAAAGAGAGAAAAGAAGGAAGATGAAGAAGTACCCTAGGCGCATGGATTTGTCAATGCACTCTCGGCAGAATCGGTGTAAGCATTCCATGACAGTCCTTGTCTTTCTAATTATACCTACACATAATATATTTACCAAGAAGCAGAGAGGCTCGAGTAAGGGAAAAGAAAAGCAAAGATAAGTTCGTACAATAGTAATCCAATTTGTTCATATCCAGCCACATTAGTATGGAAAGCAAAGTATAGTGGCCAACTATGAGATGTGACTTCAGTGTCATGGCTTGTTTCTTAAATTGAATCCGGACAAAATACAAGTTTGAGAATCGTACCTAAACATATTGGGCACTGAACTTCCTTCCGTATTTCTCCCAAATTCACAACAATAAATCTGAAAGTCAACAGCATCATCTCTTCAGAGTAATTCATATCAAATGTCAGGTACAAACAAGGCCAACATGTGGAATCGAGAAGAAATTACTTGTTTCATGTATACTTCTGATACTTAGCTATCAATGTGTACAAGAAAAAAGGAAAAGAGAAACCTAAAAGAATTAAAAGCTGATAATTGTGAAAACAAGATCATTTTAACCAGAAAAGGAAATAAGGTAGCTCATTCAATGGAAGCATATTAGTTAGTAGGATATTTAGAAAATAACAAAAATCTAGGGCATTGACTCGTAGGTTTTGGTTGAAGATGATAATGTATCTCCTAAAGTTAGATGCTTTTCTAAATTGTAATGCTAATTTACGATCTTAATAAATATGGATTTGGCACATGTTTAATCTTAAAAGAAAATATCATATCAAAGGCTACAAAGCGGATGTCTGCACAATTTGGTAACCACTAGCCATCATCCACATAGTCCTACAATTTTCCTCAGCCCAATATCTAATTATGCTCATAACCCTCATAATAAATTCAACATGTACTAAGATTATAATATGTTCATTATCAAATAATATGCAGCCAGGAGGACCTGCTACACCATGCTGACTATACCACTCAACTACGTCTATGGAAACTACAGAGTGCCATTCAAGAAGAAGATGGATGCACAGCAATTTATGCTTTTCTAACCCTTTGAAAATAGAAGCCATGAAGGACTTCAGATTGCTCATCAAACAAACAAACATCAACTTCTTTTTCCTTATAAGAAACCTTAGATTTTTTTCCATTCCAAAAAGTTCCGCACAAGTGTATCGTCCGGTGAAGATCCTTCTCCAACAGCCAGCAAAGAGCCAAAATATGTAGCTATATTTTAATATGCTCAATTACCATACAGGGTTTTCCAAAATAGTCACAAAAGATAAGCCATGTCATAGCTATCAAAGCTACTGCATGTAGAATGCAAAAGTGCCATAGTTACATGCAAAGGAGTTATCTACTAGGGTTCCAGATTCATTATAATGACAGCAGACCAATAGTATAAAGAGCAGAGAACTCATGACATGTATAACCATTCCTGAAAACCTTAACCCAGAAAAAGATACGAAAATTCCAGATCACCTCCAAGTACATCATGAATCATTCAAAATACAATGCCCGGACTAAACAGAATAAATCAAAGCCATATGAAATTTCCACAATTAAAATTCACCAGCTTTTAACCAGGCCACCAAAAGGATATACACAAAATTCCATCACCAGATCTAAAATTATTTTATGTACTCAGGATATTAGCCAGAAATCCTCCCAACTGAACCTCAACTAAACAAATCGAACAGCAAAACAAAGCATGCAAATCTCGAGCTATACAGGCCCATCCACCTATCAAGCAGCGGACTTAAACACGCAGCACTAGCTTACCGCCAGTGAATTATAAACACATATGTTCGTTCATTAATACGCGTGCCTGATCGCCCGTACGTGAGTATGCGTATATGCAGAAAGTACAAAAACAGAAAGAGATAAATGAAGAAAATAGTACTCGTCTATTTCCTCATCGCTGGAGTCAGAGCTGTCCTCGGAATCTGAAAATCAAACACACGTAAAACAACCATAAATCAACAAATTCAGATATCAACGGTGAACCGGAACTCGAATTCAGTTCAACCAGAACACAGCTTGCGTGTTAACGTGTATACTCACACAAGGACCTACCTTTCTCGTTGTCGCTCAGCTTCTGGTTGTGATTCTCGCTGCCTTGGAGCGAATCATTGGGTTTTTCTTCCTCCGGCGGTGGCGGAAGAGAAGGAGGCGGAGTGGCGGTTTCCAGCGGGCGATTCTGGGAGGGCATTGGGTTTGACTGGGCTGTGGAGAGGCTCTGCGGCGGCCGTGGTCCGTGGAGGCGGTGGTGGGGTGGTGGGGAGACGGAGTCAGCGAAGAGAGGGAGGTAATTGAGTGTTCGAGTGCTCGAGGAAAATGCAATGTGTGTGTTTTGTAGTCTGTCTTTTGCGATCTGGGTTTGGTTACCTCCAGTTTCTCCCATCCGGTTTTTAACAATTTCAAATAGACGGTGAAAGGTGGGACCAGGGCAATCACGATTTCTTCGCACAAAAATAGCACCTTGCATAAATTGGACATGTATTTTAAGCAACTAGTCTGATCATTTGTATTAAGAGCTCATTTGTTTGGGAGGATAAGATAGGATAAAGCCATTTATCATGGCCTAATCTGATGTTTGTTTATCATGATAAAAGTCCGAGATAATTTTGGGGCCTGAGATTAAATTCAAAGAAATCATGAATATGCAAGATAAAGTGATCATGGGGGGAGAGTGAGATAAAATTGATCTGAGCTAGATTATTGTGTCAAATTACATCATTGTCCCTGTCACTTTCTATTCCGTCACCAGAATTAGACACATCCCTGCAACTCCCGAAGACGGCGACTGCAAGAAGAAAGAAAGAAAAAAAAAACAAAAAAAAATTGAAATAATCCAGCCATTTGCTTTGAGATTGTGAGTAACAAACTACAGTTTTTCTTTTTCTTTTTTTCCACAAATAATCAGAGAATGCCGGCCCCGCAGCGGATTTGTTCTTCTGGTTTGCTTTGTTTCAGAAACCCCAAAACCCATTCCGCCTTTCCACTTTCATATGGTCAAGTATAACTTGGATTTGTTCTTCAAATTTGGTTGTGGATGGGCTATTGCTTCGAATTTGATTTTGCCGTCATGGAGCATCAAAATTTTAATTGTGGATTGAATGAGGTTTTGATTTGTTATTGTTAATTTTCATCTCACATGAAAAAAATGAAGCTACATAATGTGAGGGAAAAGAGTGAAGGAGGTGTTTTTATGTAGATAATTTTGACCCAAATATCTGTGTACAACTTAAGTGTGGAAGATGAAATAATGAGATTGATTGGTTATTTTCATTCCAGTAAAACATGAAAGAAAGAAAAAAATAATGTATTTGAACAATGGGGCATTTTGTAAATGAGCATCTAATCCTATTATTTGTCCATGGAAACAAACACATAAAACATATTATGAAGATAATCTTATCTTGAGTAATCAAACATAACAAACGTGAATATAAAATTATCTCTACACCCCAATCTTGGATACCAAGATAAAAATTATCTAATTCGGTCTCCCTAAACAAACGTGCTCTAAGTCTATTATTGTAAATAAATGTTGGATTATGTATTTACATTACAATAATTTAAAATAAAATTATCCATCGTCATGAAAATTGAGAAGTGTATATTAATTTGAAATAATATTATTGTGGAGTAGTGTTTGAGTTCCAAGTAAAATCTCAACTTCATTAATATGACAAATAAAAATACTAAAATATATATTATTTTTGAAAAACATGTTCAAAATATTTCNATATATATATATATAACAACACATCTAACATTACTATTATTTATATAAAAGATAAGATAAATATTGTACGTAATCATATTAAAATTGATAAATTAAAATCTATATATATATATATATATAAAGAGAATAACCATCTAGAACATTTAATGCATACCTTATTTAGAAAGTTTTTTAAATATATGTATTAATTGCTGTCATATACACGTTTTCAAATCAGATATGATCAGAAAGATTATATCCTTAAATAATTATATTCATCTGCAATAATTTTATTGATATCTATTATAATAAACTACAATTTGATTTTCCGTGATTCATGTTGATAATATTTTGGTCAACATAAACATGAAAACATATTTAAGTCTTAACTATATTATTATTTTATTTTCACAAATATTGGCTTTCATCCTAAAATATTTATAAACAATCGTAACATGTTAAGTAATTTTGTCCTTCCAACTAATTAGGCGAAATCAAGTTGGTAAATTAATATTTGCCGATAAATTTTTTAAGTTTTGTTTAATTATATAAAAAATAAGTAATATTTCGAATTAAAAATAATTAATCATTTAAGAGATAATGATCAGATACATTAAATAATTTACTGAATACTAGATAATAAAATTAAAAATAGTAACTATTCTTTACAATTTTAACATGTGATTTTTATAATATATGTGCATGAGGTGCACAAGGTACATAAAATAATATATGTGAATGACTATTTTGCCCCTGATGTAATTGTATTATTACGATTGTGCCGTCAGAAGTTTTCCTATAAATAGGAGCTTCAGTTATAATGAAAATTGTACCCAAGAGTATACATTTTCTCTATTCTCTCTCTTTCTCTATAGTTTTATAACACGTTATCAGCACGAGCGCTCTACCTGGTCAGAAAGGTAGGAATATAACAATATATATATATATATATATATATATATATATATATTACATAAAATTAAGTATATTTTACTAATTTACACATTACCATTATTCTTGACAAGTTAGACTCTGCCACAGTCAAGAATATGTGGCATGAATATACTAAATATGACATTATTTACACATTATCATTATTATTGGCAAGTCAGGCTATGCCATAGTCAATAATATGTGATAAGATGATATTATTAAATTTACTTATGAATTACTACTAATTGTGAAAAATAACTTCAAGTTATATAAATAATATTATTACTTATACTTAACACCCACAAAATGGTTTACCCAGAATGTGGCGTGAAATTTATAACTACTTATTCTTGTACCCACCGAAAGATTTATCAAGTAGTGTGGAGTGACATTTTTATTTGTTTTGCTACTTATATTCATTAAATTGTTCACATAATGACTCGAAGAATTTTTAAGGTAATATACACGATTAATTAGAATTTTATGATCATGAATGATGAACTAACAAATATTATATCATTAATTTGTTTCCAACGGCTACTTAACGGCTATATTGCAACGGTTATTTATCAATCTATATATATATATAACACTACATGTCATATATTAACACTCATTCCAAATACTAATATATATTCTCCTCAAACAAAGAAAAAAAAAATGTTTCATCTACTATTTATAATTACCATTAATTGTTTATTATATACGCTTTGGGAATTTTAATAATGATGTATCATACTTCTGAATTTATATTTTATGTATTAGGTCTCTTTTCTAACCGCCTCGAATAAAATCAAACTTTTCATGCAATCACACTCTGATAATGTTCACTGCCGATCTGAAGCAGTCAACCTTTTAAAGATTATCGAAAAATTGCAAGCAGCTTCTCAGGTCCCCTTGATATTGCCTTTTGACAACCTGGAACCTGAGGGCCTCGTGTTGTGTATTTTATGAAAACATCTTCTAAATGCCCACACAATTAAGAAGGGAACACGAACCATTATCAATAAAGTACCTAATGCCTGAATAAAGCCCAAGTGATCCCCTGATTGTCGATTACTCTGCAGCATGTGAACGTCTTCTGACAAATCAAACTCGTAAAGTCGCTGAAGACGGAGAAACCACCGACCAAGAGGTTTTGTCTCGCTGCCCAAACCAGCAGCGTCTTGCAGGTCTGAAGAATATACGTCATATCCTCAAAAGGTGAATTTCTGCATGGCACCATACGTCCTTTGCTTAGCTAATCAAGGTGACAAGTAGCCATAATTACATTTCACCATTCTCCCTCGTATAAATGTGGCATCCGACACCTCATTTTAATTGACAAGGGAAGAAAAAAGAGAGAGCAATATACACATACACAAACATATAATAACAAATCACATACCATAACAATATAACATCATACCAGCATACAGTAGCTCAACATATGACCACTACTGTAACAAGATACACTTTTTGCTAGCCTCACTTTCGGAGAACTTTTCTCCTCGCCGACCTCTCATAATAATATAACATCATACCAGCATACACTAGCTCAACATATGACCACTACTGTAACAAGATACACCTTTTGCTAGTCTCACTTTTGGATAACTTTTCTTCTCGCCGACCTCTCAATAGATTGACGACATCGTGCTTTCTTTATCATTTCACTCTTGCATAGTACTTTGTCTATCACCCACATAAATCATATCGGTCCCTCATTCCATTATAATCCATCCTCCCTTCATTCCGTGATTAAGAATAATTGATTATCACTCATCAACAAAAGTCTCATTAAATTTTACCAAACTTAAAGAAGTCTGATAATATGTAACAATTTACGATTTTATAAAACATATTTAAACTTAAATTGAATACTTGCATCCTTTTAAAGATTTTTTAAAATTTAAATAAATAACTCAATTTTTTTCAAATTTTTAAAAAGTTTTTAAAAAATTTCATAACAAACAGAAATATTTGAAGAAAATTAATATCGACATCAATATATTAGGGCTTTAAGCTACATTTTATCATTTCAAAAGTCCAGCCATTATCTGATTAGAGGGTTAACAGTGGTTTTGCCTACTTTATCAGTGGGTTAACCAGTTGCAGCTATAATACATACACAATATACACAAAAGGCGGCCGTCTTTCCCTGCGTCTTTACCCTCTCTCACCCGAAACCATTCAGCGGCCCTACGCCGCTGCGACCGCCGGAGGTTTTTGGATTACATCCGTTTCGCGAAACTTTAGTTCTGCGCAACATGATTCTGCCGGCAGTTGTTAGTCATGGGTTTATCCCTCGATTCTGAGATCCTGGTTGGAGAGCGAGAGCGATAGAGAGATCTTGCGAGGGATAAGAGAGTAGAAGAAAATGGCAGATTGTTCGGGCTTGAGCTCGGGCTACAAAGAGTATGTCGCGGGTATGCTGGCGGGTGTTGCCACAGTCGTTGTGGGTCATCCATTCGACACAGTCAAGGTCTCTCTTTCTCGCTCTTACTTCACAACCGACATTCCCTCTTAGATGCACACACGCAATTTTATTTATAGTGTATCGTTTTCTCTTGCTTCTTGCCTGGTATGTATGATTCCTGTGAGAAATTAGTCATCACCTTGATTGTCGTGAACTGTAGTAATTGGATCTCGATTTATCACTTCTTAGCTGTTTAATTCAGGGCAATTATTGCTCAAGTTTTGCAGCTTCCTTGAAAGTTCACGAGTTATATACTCTATTATGACTCGGCCTTTATTTTAGCGTATTGTTTATCTTGGAGCTGGAGTTTGTGGATGTGACTGGTTAATGGCTCAGATTTCAAAATGTTTAGGAAACTTTGTGTACAAGTTATATTGTCCAACACCGACACATCAAATNTGTGATAGATGTACCCTCTAGGGTTGTGAGTTTCATCTGCATGTGTTATTTCTGGCTAAAATTTGGTCCCCTTAATTGGATGAGGAATTTTTTTGTCTTTAGTTGCATTATTGCCTTGGTGCCTGATTCTGAAGAAATATTTGAAGGTAGTGCCCGTGTTAAGTATGTCAGGACCGTCTTTTTTACCTGATGATTTGTGTTATCAGGTGAAGCTTCAAAAACACAACGCAGGAGCTAATGGGATGAAGTACAAGAGTGGTTTTCACTGTACTGCGGCAATATTGAAGACTGATGGAGTATATCTCTAAACTCTGTTAGGGTTCTGTTTCAGTAGTGCTATGTTCTAAGACTATTTGCCACCTCAAATTTCTTTCTAATTTGTGTATCTCTGATGTTGGGTGTGTTCCAGTTGTATCTGTTTCAAAGCAGCATAGCACATTAACACAATAGAAGTATTTGTATTCTTTCTATTTGTGCATGTCGTGTGTCTGAGTAAATTCTTACTTGATTTTCAAGTAGTTGTCTGTAATAAATTATCAGTTTTTACTTCTTAGTTTGTCATGGACCTCGTGGTAAATTGTTGGTGTTATCTGTTTAACGCCAGCAATCTACAGTTGGGCTTGCTTCATTTGTCTCCACGACACCAACTTCCAGTTACTTTGACAGGTGAAGGGCCTTTATCGCGGTGCAACACCTTCTTTTGTTGGAATGGCTTGTGAAAGCTCACTTGCTTTCGGAATTTATTCCCAGACAAAACAGTTTCTGCAGGTCTGTTACACAGTTACAGAGTAATAGTTGAATGTATGGATATAGATCATAGTTCCTTCATTGTCTAAAGTGCTTTGGCCTAGATGACTGTATGATAGCTGAATTTTTTAACTCTATAGATGCTATTTTCAATGGCCTTAACAGGGAGAAATAACAAATGGGAAGCCGCAGCTTCGTGCGATAGTTCCTTCGGGAGCTTTTGCTGGAGCTCTTATCAGCTTTATATTGTGCCCATCAGAGCTGGTAAAGGTAAACTAACCAGAAGCTTGACCTCACTCCGAGTTGTTTTCATCATTTGTCTGATTATGGAGTTTTCAGTGTAGAATGCAAGTTCAAGGCTCCTTCATTCATAGTTCAAGCACATACAACAGTCCCATTGATTGCGCCCTTAAAACTCTTAAAAGTGAAGGGGTGAGTTTAATTTATGGCTCAAGTCAAATTGATTTCTGGACTTTTAGCTGACAGTTTGCTCTTCAGCTGACAGGATTATTCCGAGGAGGCAGTGCTACTTTTTTAAGAGAATCTCTTGGAAATGCAGTCTTCTTTAGCACTTACGAGCACATGCGTTATTACATGCGTTTACCACTGAGAGATACTTCCTCTGATTTAACCCATTTTATTGATGTAGGAATCGGGATTGTTAGTGGTGGCTTAAGTGGGATAGCAGTAAGTTTTACTTGTAGTTACAGTTATTAAACACAATGGATGCCCTTTCAATTACTGAATTTGTCAGCTTCTCGTATATATTTACTCTTTATTGATTTGTGCATCCTTCCTTTGATATTCAAACTCAATGTTTATTCATGTCAGTGTTGGTCTGTTGTTCTACCCTTGGATGTGGCAAAGACTATAATTCAAACTTCATCAGACAAGAAACAGACCAGGAATCCATTTCGGATTCTTCAATCGGTATACTATAAGGTTCTTAAATGTTTTTATGATATGCATTAAAAATAACTATTCCCTGATTCCTTTTTCTATTGATAGATCTACGGGAGGTCCGGAATTAGGGGATGCTATACAGGTCTTGGTCCTACAATAGTTAGAGCATTTCCTGCTAATGCCGCTGCTATTGTCACATGGGAACTAGCCATGAAGTTGCTGGGCATCAAGCGCGAATAGGACTGGTGCACCATAGGAATGCCTAGTGCATATTATCCTTTACGACGACCTGTATTATGTTTTCTTGTTGCCTGCATTCAGAGTGATTCTTTCAAGGTGTGAGGCTCCTGATATGATACTATACCATCAACTGATATGAGGAATTGGATAAAAGTTTATTGTGTTATGGTCAGCTTATTGGTCACTGAAGTTGGTGTGACATCTTTTTTTTTTTTAAATTCTTCTTTTCTTAGGCCCATCAGTGGGTAAGTTGTTAATGATTGATGTCAACAGTTTTAAAATCCTGCCTTAACTATGAATGGCAGTTCAATTGTCTGACATAGGAACTTCTATTGTGATGGAATAGTGGAAAGGAACTTGTGTACTCTTGCAATTCAGGACCAATCTATTTTAAATAATCTCATTGAATATTTCAGTAGCCTATAAAAAAATTACTGAGTGGCGTGATCTTATATTTTTTCATTTCCTGAAAATTTTAATTTCATTGTCTATTGTTGGGCTGTTAAAGCCAGGAATTTGTTTCGATAGAAAGTTACTGGAGTTTCTAGTGATCAGGCTAAACCTAATGGAGGTTTTATTTGTTCCTCTCGGAAGTTTAGTAATACTATTTTGCTTCCTGCGACGTGAATGGAAGAGTGCTTCCTGAAATTAATACAGATGTAATTGCAGCACTTGACAGTGATTGCTAGCATCTATGCTACAATCTATGTAAATGACACCTTTGAGCAGATAAAGCACACAAGGATCTGGTTATATCTCCCCTTAATTATTGAGAATCTGGATTGCTGTTTATTTGCTGCAGTTAATTACTTAATCTTAGTGTTGTTTTATGATAAGATCTGGATCGTATGAAACTTGGAGAACGATTATTCTTACAAAAATAAATCTAGCCTGAAGAAGCATGGAAGAGTATTTCCTTAGAGATGCTAAAGTATCAAATCTCTAGAAATTAAGAAGTGGCCGAAGTCAAATTATTTTTCAGGCTAATAACTGAATAGTTTGGCTCGCACAGACCATGCTAGAATCTGCAAAGAAATGCATCCATTGACAGAAGATAGAGAGCAGTCTCAAAGGTCAATTTTCTTATGGTTACTTCTTCAAGACTGAAAATAAGGCCATACTCATTGCTTTAGATGGAATTAATCTCTGCTCACTGAGAATCATATAGGCTCTTGCGACGTCTCTCATTGTGTCCTGCCAAACGCCTGCGACAACTTCTTTTAGCTTCATCAAACTCCGATAGCTCGTGAAACCTGTTGGGCATGACAGCTGGAGAGTAAATGTGGTAAATTTGGTACTTATTATATGATATACGAGCTGCCAAGAAACAAGATTGCATGGGATTAACTAAGTATTGCACGAGGGAGTCTTCTCAAGCCTCTTACATACTGAAGCATGCTAAATTTGCATTCCCAATATTTTTTGACTGTTTTTTTTGCTCTCTCGTAGCATTTGGTCAACAGCCTTGATTTTCTGACTAGGCAATTTTTGTTTCCGGGCATATTTCTGCAGTGTCCATAGATGGACTGATAGTTTTGACAATACTAGATCGATCGACTTTACTTCCTTATATTATGAGCAGTTCTTATCGACATAATATTCTGAATAAATTTGTGCTCTCTCTCGGAATATTCTAGCGTTTTCGTATTCCATGACTTGTTTTTTAGTTAATTTTGTCAAATTGCATGCTCCCCATCTTCCTAATGCCTGTAGTGTTCTGAGTTGCAATTAATAGGGCCATGCATTTCACGATGTGCAAGTAGAAAAAAATAGCGGGATTAATTTTCAGACTTTTAGGAAAATCAAACTCGAACCTGCTGCACTGCTGACAGAACCTCTGCCCGGACCCCGCAAGAAAAACAACAGCTGCCTTGGCATGAAACTCACAAACTCTATGCCGCCTGTGATATGGCTTGGCATCACTCAAATCAGCCGTGCAGCCTTCCACCTGGCAAGAACGCTGTGTAGATCCACCAGCACTCGATTGCCTTCTCTTTGAGGGAGTTGACGATCTCATCCTCTTGCTATCATCTCCCGACTCTCCATCCTCGTCATCTTCTCCGCTCGCCTCAGGTTCCTCTGCAACTCTTTTTCCTTCGTATTTTCTGGGCTCCATCTTTTTTTTTCTTGGGTAGTGAGAAAAGATTAGGTGAAGTGGAAGGAGATGGAGAAAGTGAAGAAAATGGAACATGACCGGTTAAATTGAGGTGGGTGTGTGTTGGTCCAGGACCACAAAGGTACCGCTTTCGCTTTTTTCTTGGACTACTGTTGTACGGTGCAATTGGTAGGGGTCTTCTAAATGTGGAGTTTATGAAAAGTGAAAACTTGATAGCTCCCAATCAAAATCAAGACTTTTTGATGAGATAAAATTATCACTGTACAATGGTCAACATGCCATTTTCATATTAAGTTTGCTTTCCAGCTCGGCTTAAGCCAATTAGAAGATTAGTTACTAGTTTGGAGTAGGCAAAATGGATTCTTGAATTCGGATCCTCTACATTTCCCTCTTATGAAATTCATGTGAACTTGAGAGAGAAATACAGTTATACACCAAAATTTCCCAATACATGGGATCCATCAAATTCATTCCTAATCGTATTTAATCTCTCTTTTCCCTCTTCGAGCTTCACCAGTACATTCACTGGATCCAAATACATGGTTTCTTAGATGAAAAAATGGTAATTTTTTGCGTATCAATTCGTATTTTGTACGTATAACAGAATTCTACAGTTTTTGTATCTGTAAGTAAATTTCATATCACAAGCACAATTAGAAGCTCTGCATAAATCATAATCTCCCAGGGTTTTTGCTGTAGCTCCCGAGTAATTATTTCCTGTGCTGGTTTTTGGATGTCCTTGTCTGGGGCAGTTCTTATTAGGTACTTGGCCGGAAAGTGAAAAAGGGCCAATAATTGTTTTCCGAGCCCCACTCATGTTTCGCCATGTGTCGTGGACCTTTCTATTTTGATGAAATGTCACTGGCTAATTTTTTTCACCCTCACATGAAATGTTCGGTTGCTAAATTGAGTGCGGCCAATAGATTTGTAGTGTAGTGGACACTTATTGAGCTTTGGATGTGAAACTAAACTGCTCTATGCATGCTGACACTCTTTTTGGTACAAATACCTTTAAATTTAAAATGTGTGAAATAGATTTTGGTCCACCTTTGTACGAAGAAGACAGCTGTTTTGGCTGCGGGCCTATCCAACTGCTTTTCAACCTTTCTCCATGGACAGTGGAGAAAGAGATGTATAATTTAGCAAGGAGACGTTATTTATGTTAAGCTGTTATTTATTTTAAATTTCTGGTGAAACTGATGAAAATTGACTTTGTACACAACAAAATACGTGTCTTTAGGTTCTTTGATACAAAGGTGATGAAAATCAACGTTATGCACAAGAAAATACGAAGTATTCTTCTGGTTCTTTTAGATGTATATAATTATTGAGTTTATTATATTGTTGTGAATTTGTCAAATTAAAAATATTTATAACTTCTGCAGTCAGATAAATGGAAAACAACAATGGTGCTAACACTTTTTGATTTCTTCATTTGTTGTTTCAATTTGAGTTTGTTTCAGAATATCTGCGTTCTTTCAGATCTTGTTTTCGTTTATATTCACTTGTCCTTTGCATACGTCACTGTCGCCATACAAAATCAATAGAGGCAGATGTTAGACCCAGATTTGTAATTTGGGCCGGGCAGCTGAGCCCATTTTCTGCTCGGTTTGTTTCTGTAAGCTTGGGCGAGTGTATTTAAATTGTAGGCCCATGGAAACAAAGAGCCCATTTGGGCAAATATTGTTGCACTGCACTCACTGTTTCGATATTCTGAATCTCAACGCACCGTCTCTCTCTCTCTCACATACACACACACACTCAC